TTACAAGCTGGTTTCCCCCAGCACGGTCTCTGTGGGGAGCAGGGGAGTAGCAGGACCAGGCATGAGCTAGGAATCAGCTGATTCCCAGCTCACGCCTAGTCCCAGATGCACCTCTGCTTTTAAAATATATTAAGAGCCAACATTAAATGTATTTAAAAGGCTGGTGTGTAGCAGAGGAACCCTATGCAAGCCAGGAATCAGCTGTCCGGGCTTACGCTGGGTCCCTTTTGCTGCAGGTTAGCCTTTTAAATGGATTAAGAGCTCCTGGGCCGGGTGTGAACCCTGCTGCAGTTCCCCACTTATCGACTCATCGACTAATCAATTATTTGATTAAACTAAATTTAACATCCCTAGTTGGGAAATGAACCACAGGGCATTCCTTTGCTAGGGCAGTGGGTCCGATCCATGCCTAGCTAGTTAAGGGTACTATTTGGATGCTTACATGCAAGCATGCACTTAAATATTTTGCTTGACTTGGGCCCCTGATTCAGTGTCCCCTTCAGCGCAATAGAGCTCAGGAGCAGGTGCAGCAATGGCCTCAGGGAACTAAATGGATCGTGCATAATTATGCTGATGGGCATTCTAGCATTGCCAGCTCCAGAGCCTCACATTCAAAGCCATGGAGTCAGCTCACCCCACCCAAGAACAGGAAAGGTACAAATTCTTTATGACAAGTACAGCCTTTGGGGTTCTTTGTGTTTACCAGCTGGTGTGCTGTTCATGGCTCAAGCCCTTTTCTGCACAAAGGAAGGCTGGAAACATTTTGAAAGCCAAGATTCCCTCAACATAAGACTGGCCATAGTGGATCAAACCAAAGGTCCATCTAGCCCAGTATCCTGTCTTCCAACAGTGGCCAATGCCAGATGCCCTAGGGCAATGGTGAGCAACCTGTGGCCCATCAGGATTCTGTGTGTGATCCACGAGACTTTTTATTTACTGTCGCCCACACACAGGGTTGCCAGATGTCACTGGCTTCCATCCACGTAGTTTTTTTCCTACCAGTATTACTAAAGTGACACGCACGTAAAGCAAGGACACAGGAAGTGAAGTGAGTGCTGATTGCTCACAGCACTGACCATAAGAGCCATGTGCTCCCTCTGTATTCAATCAAAGTGCTGCTACAGTTTCATCGGCACAGTCTGCAAATTCTAGGTATGCAAGCGCAGTTAGCAAAACTACCCTATCCCAGGAGACTGTCTTGGTTGCAACCATCTTGCAGCCACTGAAATGAAGGAGGCCCGCTAACTAGCCAAGGTTGCTCAGCGCTGCCCCAGAGGGCATGAACAGAACTGGCAGTCATCAAGTAGTCATCCCCTGATCCCTGGTCCCAGTTCCCAGCTTCTGGCATGCTCTCATGACTCCAGGACCTGGGGTTGTAAGAAAAGCAGTAAATATCTCAAGACGAGGCCTTTGGAGCGTTCCTTAAACACGTGCCTAACGCCTTCAGAGACAGGCCATACCCATGTCAGGCAAGTGCACAAAGCTTTTATTTCTTTCATAGCAAGTGGCTCGGCATGACCTATACAATCTGTCAATGCTGATGCAAGCGTGTTGATTTGCTGCAGAATCTTCCTAGCTAGATTTATACACGCACTCTCCAAGAATGTCCCAAATGTCTAAAAACCTAGTTGCTTTAACAATGAAGAGTCCTGTGGCATGTTAAAGACTAACAGATTTATTTGGGCTTCAACTTTCATGGATTAAAAACCACTTTGGCAGACTAACATGGCTTCCCCTCTGAGATTTAACATTCATGTTGCTAAATTGGAGAGGGTGGAGAGAAAAGCCACAAACGGAATCTGAGGCTGGAAAAAATGCCTGAAAGTGGAGCTTTAAAGCATCTGATCGATTTAGCTTCAGTTGAGAGGTGGCTTGATTACTTTGTATAAGTACCTTCATGGGGAGAAAATTCCAGGCACTCAAGGAATCTCTAATCTAGCAAATAAAGGCAGAACAAGACCCAGTGGTTGGAAGTTAAAGCCAGACCTGCTCCAGTTCGAAATAAGGCACCGGTGTTTCACAGTGTACATGATTAACCATTGGAACAAACTCCCAAAAGCAGTGGTCCCAAAGGAGAAAGCAGTAAAAAGATAAGCTGGCTCCTGTAAAGATCAGCTCCCATTGTCCTTGCTGGAGTCTTTGGCCCAGGCCGATGTCTACATTATTCATCCTCATGCTTGTCAGAGAGCAATTTGCTAATGCCTGTAGCTAATGCCAGAAGGGCTCCAAAGCCCGCGATCCCCACTACCCCTGCAATCATGGCATCTCGGACCTGCAAAACACAGAATAAACCTGGTCAGGAGACCCCAGGTAGCCCACAGGGGTTTACACACAGCAGTAAATGGCACAAAAGCTGTGCTGAGTTACTGTCTGTCTTAGAGCATCTGGCCTCCACTGTTCACTGGAGGAAATGTAACTGGGCAAATTGGATGGTTCAGAAGCTGTGCCAAGTCTCTGGATCCCTTTATTCTATTCCAGGCTCTGCTGCTGGCCCTGGGCAAGTCCCTTCCCTGCTCTGGGCCTCTATTTTCCCCTCCCATCCTTTGTACCGTTGGATTGTAAATGCATCATGGTAGGGACAGTCTCTCATTGTGTGTCTGTGAAGAGCCTGGCATGAGATGGCTCTGCTCTTAGATGGGTGTGTGCACACATAGCAGGGCCCCACATGGCACGTGTGTGCACATATACACACGCATGGAGCAGGGACCACTCCGCTCCCACCTGGTCACTCCTGGCCTCTCCATAGCGCAGCTTGGTGACAAAGTGCTCGCAGTTCTCACTGGTGACACTGTATGACATCGTCTTCCCCACCAGAGACTCTGCCTCCCGGACAATCTGGTCTATCCTCCGCCGGGGCAGCTTCCTGTCGAGCTTGTTGTTGATTCGGTAGTCATCACCTTTCACCACTGCCCACAGGGGTTCCTTCCTCACTCTGGCTTTATCAGCCACCACGGACATCAAGCTGGAGAACCCGGCTTCAGCGATCTCACCTGGGGATCCAAGACCGACACATGGACCGTGAGCTAATGGATCTGGATGGACGCCCATCCCTTCCCGGAGTCTCCATCATGTGGGACGTGTCTTAGACCAAGCCAAGCAGGGCACACGTCCCAGCTATAGGGCTGGATGCACCTTCGTCCCCAGACAGCTCAGTGCTCCCTTGCAGGTGTCAGACCCTCTGCCTTTACCTCTTTGGGACAGTCACATGATTCTCCTGATCTCAGGTGGAGCCCTGGGCACTGGAATGCTGTTGATCATACAGCTCGGTTCCTTCTTGGGGAGTCTATGACCCATGGTGTGCACAGTGACCAGTCATGGCCTTACGCCAAAGTACTGTTTAATCTTAACAGTGTCGCATACGAGAAAGACGAAGTTAAAACAATAAACTATCTCTATGAGCTCAAGCCCTGTAGGCTGAATGGCTTAGTCCAGGGGTGAGCAATAATTTTTTGCTGGGGGCCACTTCAAAAAATGTGAAGGGGCAGGGCCTCAAATGGAAGGGGCGGGGCCAGGATGCTTCCAGGCTTCCCCACCCACAGACCATGATTGGTCTGGAGGTGGGGGAGCCCCTCCCTTTACCCCCCAGGTTCTCCCTAGGCACCCATGCCCCTGGCACAAAGTCTCCTCCCACCCTGCCAGGAGCACACGGTGCTTCAAAGTTCTGTGTTCTCCTGGCAGGGCGGAGGAAACTTTGAGCGCTTCCCCCTGCCCTCAAGCCTTAATTGGCCTGGGGGCGGGGAAATGGCAGGGCGGATCAACTGCTTGGCAGACCAGGTCCTGCCATGGAGACCCTTTTGCCCACCCTTGGCTTAGTCCCAGGTTTGAGTCCCAGTGATGACAACTTAGCCTCAGGCACTGCTTTACATCAGCACCCTCTGTTCATGCAATTCCCTCCCCCAGCTGTGGCAGAGTCAGGTGGGGTGCTTACAAGCGGGAGCCAAGTGGATGACATAACCGTTTCCCACATAGATAGCCCAGTGCTGGTATCCAAAGCGGGAAATCTCTATCAGGTCCCCAGGTTTGGGTTCCACCTGTTGGAGCAAAATCATCATGACAAGTGAGACAGGGAGGAGCAAATCTACCTACTTACCTACATACCCCTCTGCAAGGTATCTATCCCTCAGCACCACAGAGTCTTTGAGAGAACAGTCAGTCCAACTGCTGATGGGGATTGACCTGGCAAATGGCAGGGCCCCACACACCAGCTTCTGCCTTTGGAGCAAAGGAATCCAGCTGGTCCAGCCTGTCACTGTAGCAGACCCTGTGCATCAGATGCCAGGAAGGTGTGTAATGTACAGTGAAGATGGTGCAATTAACTAGAGATTAGTTAGCCACCAAAATGGGCAGAAGGGAGAGTGGTTCAGAGGCAGGGAGTCTAAGAGCAACTGGAGAAGGGATTTGGCTCAGGCATGTGCTTGGTCTTGATGCAGGGGTCTTGATGCAGGGGGCTGGACTTGATGACCTTCTGAGGTCTCTTCTAGTTCTATGATTCTATGATGTGGGTTATTAGGGGCATGTCTCCCTGCCACTAAGAGGCACCTGGGACAGGTTCTCCAGATGGGCTGTTTGTTCATGCATCATTAGGTCTATGGCATGCTGGGTGCAGAATCTCAGGGCAGACCTGAGGTTACACCTCTTGTGGATATGCAGGGGTTGGGAATTCAGTTGGGATTTTCCTTTGCTGCTAGAATAAGAGTGACAGGAAATTGTCCCTCAGAGCACTATTTTCAAATGGAAAATTAAAGTTTTGAGATAACAAAAATGTTCATGGAAAGGTTCCATGTTCATTTTTAAAAATCTCATTTCTTACAAAAGACCAAAAAGTTATTTTACTTAGGTGAAAAAGTTAAACTATTTTGCTTTCGTCAGTTTTGAAAAACCTCTGATTTGGCAAAAAATATGCAGGTTTCATCCACAAATATTCAAATTTTATTAGTTGTTGATTGACAATATTTTATTTAAATATTCAGATTGTCAGTTTGAGGCTAAAACAATCATTTTTGACTAATTTGATTCAAAATGTCCATTTTTTGGCCAAAATTATTCAGTGTTTGGCTAAAAATACTTAGTTTCTGACCAGAAATACTCAGTTTTCAGCAGGTTTTGCTTAATAAAGGTTATTTCATCAAAAATTTTCTATGGGGGGAGGAACCCAAACATTTTCCTACTGCCTCCAGTTGAGCTCCCTCAGATCACCCCGTCGGATACACCTGGGCTGTGTCTACACTGGCAAGTTATTCCGGAAAATCAGCCGCTTTTCCGGAAAAACTTGCCAGCTGTCTACACTGGCCGCTTGAATTTCCGGAAAAGCACTGACGATCTAATGTAAAATCATCAGTGCTTTTCCGGAAAAACTATGCTGCTCCCGTTCGGGCAAAAGTCTTTTTCCGGAAAACCGTTCCGGAAAAGGGCCAGTGTAGACAGCACAGTAGTGTTTTCCGCAAAAAAGCCCCGATTGTCATTTTCGCTTTTCTGTTAAAGCCTTTTCTGTTAAAGCATTTCCAGAAAATCATGCCAGTGTAGATATAGCCCTGCTGTCTGTTTTCATGGTGTTGAGCGAATCAACCAGATTTAAGAGGTTCCAGCAGATCAAGAGGCCTGAATGCCTGGCAACTGAGTAACCAAATCCCTCTTGCTTTGCAGAGGGTAGAATGCAGCACTGTGATTGACGATGGGTAATAGCCTTCCCTGCTTTCTCTCCATTGAGAGGAAACAAGCCCAGATACAGTGCAACAGCAGGATCTCTCCTTCCGGCCAGCCAGCCTGGCCAAGATTATATTTAGTCCAAGGACACATGCCAAGAGGACTCAGTAATCAGACACCAGACACTGCATTGCACTCCTTGAACACTCCCCACAAATGAGAGAGTGAAATCAGTCCAGACATGGCCCAGTGTGGTGTTTTAGATGCTGATTGTAATTATTAGAACTGGGAGCACTGGCTATTGGGAATCTGGAAGCACAGGAAACAGAAAGGAGGAGGGAGGAGATGGGCTAGGCCTGAGTGAGAGCTACAGAGGGAAGCACCAGCTTTGTAAAGAGGTTTCACCTTTGGTAAATAAAGACCTGTTGAAATTTGTTACTACCTTGCGTGCATGATACAACACCCAGCCAACACAGATAAACAACAGCAGGGATCAGCTGAGCTAAAAGGTTTGACTGACAGTTCTTGGGGCTCTTTTGGCAGCTGGTACTTACCGAGGAAATAGGCATGGTGGTCTGGAGGTGGCCGCAGAGGGCTGAGAGAGACGTGCTCCGCTTTAGTGAGCGTCAGCGTTTGCAGCAGTAGCAGATTTACTCTTGTGCCAATTGTCTCATGGCACAGGGCCCAAGCTCAGAACATGCCCATACCACTCACTTCTTCCCCACTGTGCTCTACAGTGGGAGCCTGCGGAGCATGATGGAATGGGAACTGAAAGCCCAAGGTACTATGGGAGCTGCAGTTCCTTGGCCAACTCCATGCCCTAAAGAGCTGACCCTTGGAGTATGGAAAAGACTACATTTCCCAGCAGTCCCTTGGTCACTAGCAACAAGAAAGGGAGGGGTGCGAGATGAGAGCCTTGCACAATAGCTTTCTGTGCTGGAGAGCCAGCTGCTAGAAGGGGGGGTGGATGCGAAACTTGTGTGCAGAGGGAGTAGGAGGCTTTGGTCCAGATCTTGTCCTCAGAAACCTTCCCCAGACTAGATCAGGGGTGCTGGTGTCCTGGGCTGGGAGCCCCAAAGAAGGAACTGGGTGGCTTGAGAGGGCTGCTCCTGCCTGAAGCCTAGCCTGTGGACCTGGAGAGGTTAATATGATCAGTAATGGAGGGAAGGCTCTACTGAGGGCCTGAGCGGCTTTAGACACATCCCAGGCACACGGGAGGATTTGAGTCAATTTCCACAGCCATGCAAGCAGAAATGGGCTTTTCCTTTCCAGATTTATCTGATGCTCCAAGGGAATCTAACGTCTGCCTTCCAGATTTGAACAGGAGAGCTCAAGTTCAATTTAGGCAGCTGTTACATCATTTCTCCAAAATCAAATACTGATCCACTGTAATTTGTTGTAGAAATAGTAGGATAAAATTGAGCAACAAATGCTGGCATCTTCTCAGCTGCTATTTTCAACAGCCATTATTAATTTTTTTTTTTTGCTTTGTTTTGTTTTTTGTTTTTTTCTTTTAAAAAGAAGACTAATATCACATTGGTGATTTCCCCACTGAAACAAAGAGTGCAACAAAAGAACAACAAAGACACTTCAACTTTTCCTCATTATATGGGACACTCTTAGGCTGCATCTAGACTGGCATGATTTTCCACAAATTCTTTTAACGGAAAAGTTTTTCTGTTAAAAGCATTTGCAGAAAAGAGCATCTAGATTGGCACAGCTGCTTTTGCGCAAAAGTGCTTTTGCGCAAAAGCATCCGTGGCCAGTCTAGATGTGATTTTGCGCAAGAAAGCTCCGTTAGCCATTTTCGCCATCAGGGTTTTTTTGCACAAAAAATTAAGTGCCTGTCTACACTAGCCCTCTTGAGCAAGTATTCTTGCGCAAGAGGGCTTATCCCTGAGCGGGAGCGTCAAAGTATTTGCACAAGAAGCACTGATTTTGTACATTACAAAGTCAGTGCTCTTGCGCAAATTCAAGCAGCCAGTGTAGACAGCTGGCAAGTTTTTGCGCAAAATCTTGCCAGTCTAGATACAGCCTTATAGTGTGGATCCAGATATCCTCCAATCGCACTGTTGTCAGACCCCAGCAGTCTATGGGTGCTGGGTATAAGAGGCCAGGGGAGACTAGGCCTCCCCAGACATCCAGCTTGTTGCCTTTTCTGAGGCCATTGACCCTTCCTGTCAATCACCTGCAGATGGTGATTACTTCAAGCAGCTCCTGAAAACAGCAGCAAGTCCCCCCTCCAACTCCTAGGAAGAGATACGACCAGGCAGCTCTGCACACTTCTCTGTCCACAGGGATGGCCCTCTCTGCTCCCAGAGGCCTTGGTCTGCCTCAAGGCCCCGCTTCCACTCACCCTCTTGTCCCTGAGTCCCTGTCTTCCCTCCGCCTTCTCCTGCCCCCACTCCTTCTGCATGCTGGCCAGGGAAGGTGGCAAAGAGGCGCACACAAGCAGTGAGCAGCCAGCCCTGTGGCATGGGGTGAAAAGGTGAGAGGTGGGCTGAGAGGGATGGGGGAGGAGGCGGAGAGGTGAGCAGTGAGCTGCAGGCAGATGGGCAGGAAGAGGCCTGGGAAAGGGAGCAGAGAGGCAGGTAGGGGCTGAGTGGGACTGAGTAGGTGGGAAGGGGCTGGGTGGGGGTGGAGTGTAGACAGGGCTTCGGGGAGGAGGCTGAGCGGGGTGGTGGGCTTTGAGGCAGGACGCTGCCCATGCAGGAGTCTTGGGTCCTACTCCCCTCCCACTCTAAACCACTAGAACTCTCACTTCCAAGAGCTGAGAAGACAACCCAGAAGTCCGGCCTTCTAAACCATTGTTGGGAACCCAACGATTCCCTTCCACCAAATCTATGTATTCCAATAGCCCCGTTACTGCTAAAGGAGAAACAACAGGCGTTCACAGAACTCAAACAGACAGATCTGCCTGACTGCCTCTGAGCTGATGGACAAACAGCTACCAGGACTGGCCACTTCTAAGCCATCCTTTGGCTAAAACTCTCCAGAGCTGTTTACTAACTTGCTTTAGTTCGACCCTGGTGCAGTGCCTCAGTACTTACAGGGACACGATATCTCTCCGTCATGGGGCTGGGATTGGAGCTCCTTGGCTATCCTGGCTCTGGACTTCCCACACACGCTTGTCAGCTTTCAGTTTCGATTCTGCCACTGGATTTATCTAAGGCAAGTTCCACGTGGGTGGAATATTCAGGACTTGGATTCAGCCTATGGGAGGGACACGTACGTCTCTGCTGATGATTCTACCTGTGCCTGAACTGAAATTGTGCCCAACCCTCCTATTGTCCTCACTCAAACCCATGCTCGAGACAAGCGCATGCTTGAGACAAGCAGATATTAAGTGAGATAGCTCACCGGAGAGGTATCGCTCCGTGCTCACGTCATTTGAGGTGCCCTCTACCTGCCCATTTTTCAGGGTGGGTGTATTGAAGGGGTGGATACCAGGTAGCGAGTCTGAATAGTCCTCCACTGACATTCCCTTCCTGACCCTCAATCTGTAGTGTCCAGACATTCCTCATATGTATAGGAAGTACTGTGCCGCAGGGTCCAAAGTTCAGTCCTGCAGCTGAAAATAGCAACAGCTGAGTGAGTTGATCTGAGGATATCAGCATTTCGGTCAATAGCAGGGTAGAGCTG